CGTGACGCGTCCCTTTCGTTCGAACGTCTCCGAGAGGTGTATTAACATTTTATGTAATATTCCGCGGTGGTGAGAAAAACGGATGCGTACTGCTGGCACACACTCTCGGCTCGGGTAAAACGAGCAAGTGGTTCGAGAGAGTTCGATGGAACTTCGTGTGGAACGGTCGCCTCGAAGCGGTCTTTTCATATCGTTCGACTTTTGTTATTAGACCCTCGACGACGAGGCGTCGTCGTTCCACTTTCTTCGAGAAAGTTCCCTCCGAACCGAGAGAGGACCGGTACGCATCGCGCACGTTCGACGTTCTCACCACGTCGCGCTCGTTCGATCAGTGTGTCTCCGCACGTACCAAACAACAACAATATATATATCAAGCGTAGAGCGACGCGAGCCGAAAGTTCGACGAGTCGCACGCACACGTCTGGTTCGAAGTGCGTTTCAGTTTGTTCCGTTCCAGGTTACCCGAATCCACGCGCGCCAGGCGCACGTGGGTTTCGTCCCAAAATTCGGACACGTTGGATCGGAGAGCTCGCGCGCTCGATCGGATTTTGGCGAAGGGTGAATCGCGCGGAACGCGCTCCGGGCTCTCGTACCGAAGGGGACCAGGCGGGTGTGTTGTCGTTTGTCGAACACGTCATCGTCGACTCGAAGAGAATGAAGGACCTTCGCGCGAGTCGAGTGTGTTTTTCGTTCGATTTCGCTCGGCGAGGTTTTCGTTCGATCTCCATTAGTTAGTCTCTTCTCGATCGACTCGGTTCTCTCAAGGACTCCGCACAGTTCGATGATCACACCTTGGCACGGGCGTGTAGAGTACTACACACGACGCCTCGGATACGCGCTCCCTTCTTGTTCGAGCGATCCACGGCTTCGCGTCGTTCGATTTCCGACCGACGCGCGGCTGCTGCTGCTCCGATACCTGGATCGACGTGAAAGAGACTCGGGGGCTCTCGATCAAATGGCTAACGCTAACGAGAGGACGCGAGGGACGAGAGCGAGCAACGGGCGCTGGGCAGAGTTGTCAGACGGCGACGAGCGTCGCGCGAGCGACGCGGCGACTCGATCTTCTCTCTGTACACCTCGCCGACACGGGGCATTCCTGCGTAAACGTATAACTGACATTTCGTTCGAGTTTCCAACAACACACATATATTTTTCATCGAGAGACGGGGGCACGCTTTTTGGTACAAGTGTTAGGTCAGATACCAGTACGGTGTCCATATATAATATTTATCCACTCATCGCTCTCTCTTGGACGACCGTTTTTTTCGATTCGTGCGATGCCTCCTCGTCAGCTCTCATAATATATTTTTATACGTTACGCATTCTCCATCCCGACGTCGAGCGAGGAAGAAGACGAGCGCGCCGACGTACGCGAGCCGATCGTTGATCGTCGCCGGTCTGTTCGTTCGATCTCTCCCCACACGGATCCGCTGTGCTACTGCTGCTCTGTCTCACTCAGCGTCTCTCTTTTAATTTCTATCTTCTCTCTGTACGTCGAGAGTTCTAGCGTTCGAGCGCGTTCGCCAGAGTTTCTAGGCGTTCGAGCGATCGAGAGCCTATCGTATAATCATTATTATTACTATTATAACGATAAAGTCTCTCTCGTCTGTGCGTTCGAACGGCCGAGAGTGTACGTCGCGTGTTCTCTCGGCCGTTAGGGGAGACGGTGGTTGTCAACAACAACAACGACGACAACGACGACCGGCCGACGGACGGGAGTAAACCGTGGTCGGTTTACTCCTGCGCGTGAGCCGAAGGCGCGGCCGTGTGTCGCGCTGTGTGTNTGCGCTTCTGCTCTCGTCTCCCCGGCGTTCGAAGTTCGGTTTTGGTGTTTGTTACTCCGCGTTGACTTACGCCATACGGACATGTTCGAGAATCAACGTTTTTCAACGTGTATATATATATCTTTTACGATCGACAAAGATCGTTAATGATCCTTCCGCAGGTTCACCTACGGAAACCTTGTTACGACTTTTACTTCCTCTAAATAATCAAGTTTGGTCATCTTCCCGATAACATCGGCAATGCCGAGACATTGGCCGCGCACCAGTCCGAAGACCTCACTAAATCATTCAATCGGTAGTAGCGACGGGCGGTGTGTACAAAGGGCAGGGACGTAATCAACGCGAGCTTATGACTCGCGCTTACTGGGAATTCCTCGTTCATGGGGAACAATTGCAAGCCCCAATCCCTAGCACGAAGGAGGTTCAGCGGGTTACCCGGGCCTTTCGGCCAGGGAAAACACGCTGATTCCTTCAGTGTAGCGCGCGTGCGGCCCAGAACATCTAAGGGCATCACAGACCTGTTATTGCTCAATCTCGTGCGGCTAGAAGCCGCCTGTCCCTCTAAGAAGATTTGTTTGTACGTTGGTAGTAAAAACCCCGCGACCGAAGCCGGGGGCCTTCGAGATACCATAAGTTACGTCTATTTAGCAGGCTAGAGTCTCGTTCGTTATCGGAATTAACCAGACAAATCGCTCCACCAACTAAGAACGGCCATGCACCACCACCCACCGAATCAAGAAAGAGCTATCAATCTGTCAATCCTTCCGGTGTCTGGGCCTGGTGAGGTTTCCCGTGTTGAGTCAAATTAAGCCGCAGGCTCCACTCCTGGTGGTGCCCTTCCGTCAATTCCTTTAAGTTTCAGCTTTGCAACCATACTTCCCCCGGAACCCAAAAGCTTTGGTTTCCCGGAAGCTGCCCGCCGAGTCATCGGAGGAACTTCGGCGGATCGCTAGCTGGCATCGTTTATGGTTAGAACTAGGGCGGTATCTGATCGCCTTCGAACCTCTAACTTTCGTTCTTGATTAATGAAAACATTTTTGGCAAATGCTTTCGCTTTAGTCCGTCTTGCGACGATCCAAGAATTTCACCTCTAACGTCGCAATACGAATGCCCCCATCTGTCCCTATTAATCATTACCTCGGGGTTCCGAAAACCAACAAAATAGAACCGAGGTCCTATTCCATTATTCCATGCACAGAGTATTCAGGCGAGAGTAGCCTGCTTTGAGCACTCTAATTTGTTCAAAGTAAACGTACCGGCCCACCTCGACACTCAATGAAGAGCACCGCGATGGGTAAATTAAATTGGACCGCGCCCGGCCCGAAAACCGAGCGCTAAGCCCACCGGTAGGACGTACCACATAATGCCAGTTAAACACCGCGAGCGGTGAACCGACACTGTGACACACAGATTCAACTACGAGCTTTTTAACCGCAACAACTTTAATATACGCTATTGGAGCTGGAATTACCGCGGCTGCTGGCACCAGACTTGCCCTCCAATTGGTCCTCGTTAAAGGATTTAAAGTGTACTCATTCCGATTACGGGGCCTCGGATGAGTCCCGTATCGTTATTTTTCGTCACTACCTCCCCGTGCCGGGAGTGGGTAATTTGCGCGCCTGCTGCCTTCCTTGGATGTGGTAGCTGTTTCTCAGGCTCCCTCTCCGGAATCGAACCCTGATTCCCCGTTACCCGTTACAACCATGGTAGGCGCAGAACCTACCATCGACAGTTGATAAGGCAGACATTTGAAAGATTCGTCGCCGGTGCTAGAAGACCGTGCGATCAGCGTCAAGGTTATTCAGAGTCACCAAAGCAAACGATGGACGAACGGCGCGAACCGCCCGCCACCGATTGGTTTTGATCTAATAAAAGCATTCCTCCCATCTCTGGTCGGAATTCTGGTTTGCATGTATTAGCTCTAGAATTACCACAGTTATCCAAGTAAATATGGGTACAATCTAAGAAACCATAACTGATTTAATGAGCCATTCGCGGTTTCACCTTAGTTCGGTATGTACTGAGACATGCATGGCTTAATCTTTGAGACAAGCATATGACTACTGGCAGGATCAACCAGGGAGTTGAGCGAAGAGAGAGAGAACTGTGTTCTCACTACTCTCGACACAACTCTCGTTCGATTATTGTATAACATAGTTTCGTCGTCGTCGGCTCCGCGGACGTTGAAGAGACCGATCGACGCGTTTTTCCCATTTATTAAAACACAACACACACACGTTCGTATCACGGCACGCTCACGGCATGTCCGTCGAACGATACGCGAACGACGCGCGAGCTCTTGGTCCGTAAACCGTGTATATACGCTTTCCACAGACTTTGCGTATGCCATTTTCGAGATTTCACGCGTTTACGGTTGCCAAGACGCGCCGCCGTCGCCGCGCCGTCGGCGAAAGGCCTCGCCCCGACCGATCACTCGTCCACATGTTCGACACAAAAGTTTTCTCTCGTTCGCCTGGACGAACGGTTTTTGTAAATTCGTTCAAAAGATCATCACTTCGACAACGATCATATCTGACAGTAAAGTTAGATAGACTCGTTCGAAATTCGTAAAGTCTCGTGTTAAAGAGACTTCACGGTTCTCTATCTATTTGCCTGGCCTTCTCTCTTCGCGACCGAACCGTGCCAAAGGAACGCCCGGGGAGCGTTCGTTCGACTTGGACACGTCCGATCGCGCCACAAGGGTTGTCAGCACTGTTGACAGTGCACAAAATGCGACATTCGTTAAATATTCTCCGAACGCTCGGTGCTTACTTTCGTGAACGTAAAGTTCTAGTCTTAAAGTCGATGCTCAGTGAGTACAAGTACGCATAATACACAAAATACTTACCGTAATACTTACCTGAATACTTACCGGGTAAGTATTACGGTAACCGTAACCTCCGGTTATACTTACCGGATAAATAACCTATAGCCGAAGGCGCTGCCGTGTGTCGCGCTGTGTGTGCTTCTGCTCTCGTCTCCCCGGAAATCAACCTGGAAAGTGGAATTGTAGGGTATATTTGAGGATATACTTATAGTCCCTCTCGAGGTACCTTCGGCT